AATATATATATATATATATATATATATATATATATATATAGCTTAGGTTTTTTTTTTTTTTTGAGTTTTTCTTGTTGTGTGCCAGTTATTTGTATTTTATTTTAGATTTTTCTAAAATGTTTCCAGCTATTAATCTTTTTCTTCTTCTTTTTCTAAATCCATATTTTATATATTTTTATTGTATTTGATTTTTAATATTTTTTACGGTTTATTTTTATTTTTTTGTACTATTTTTCAGTTTTAATAATTTTAACCCTCTTCTGGTTTGTCCACTGCTTGGGCGAGTATTGAGTATTCGCCCTAGTTACTAAACTAGAGCAGAGCCTGATTTCGGAGCTCAAGCTGCGTAGATGAACCTCGACAATAATTGATTTTAATTGGTTTGTTTAGACTTTTTATGTTTTTATGAAATTTACTATTTTCTGTTTTTATAATTTCTCAGTTTTAGTCATTTTCTTATAAATTTTGAGGAAAATATATGTAAGGAGTTTTCTACCTTTTTATGCTTTCGAATTTTTTTTTGCATCTTTTATGTTCTTTTTATGTTGCTTATCTTTATTTTCTTGTTATGGGTTCTTACCAAAGTTTTAGTATTTTCCTCAAATTTGGCCTACTTGAACTCCCTTGTGTCACTCAACTTGCCTTAGGGCGAGTCCCAAATTTGTGTCCTGTATATTCTTTAACAAATATGTACCTTCTTTGTTTAAATTCTATAACACCTAAGTCCCATGCTTAATGACTTGATCAAATAACACGCCATTAGCCATTACCAATATTAAAAACAAATTACATATTTTTTGGATCCAAATCGTCGTATGCAAAAACTCCATTGTCAAGCATGCACTTTTTTTCGGTAGATTAGTGGGGATTACAGGCCTTACCTGTTTTGTTTTAGAAAGAGTCAATTTTTGAAAGTGTCATGAGAATGAAGACCGCGATCATCAATTGGTGCTCAATAAGTACTACCACTACAATCCCAACCCCAATTTCTATAGCCGCAGCAGGGTGTATCAACCCTTAACCAGCATGATGCATCAACCCTTAACCGTTGGATGTGGTGCTTAACATGGATTGTGGCGCTATTTCATTCTATTCCGGCCAAAATTTTGGTGAGAGTAGCATCCCAAAACATATTCGAGTTATATGCAAATAACATGGGTCTTGTGAAATCACCACCGTCCATAAATAATATTGGACGATAGATGCCACCTTATATGGCACACTAGGATTTCTTATCCCTTAAAATGTAGTATTAGCAAGTCATAGAGTAAGAGAAAAACTATACACGGCCCTCTTGACACTAGTTTATACGTATGCCCACTTCTAATATTTTGTAAATCACACCCTAAATCTAAAGGAAAAAGTTTATATAAAGATGCAACTTTATAATGTAGAACTACTGATGCACTTCAAAAATCCATCGAAAAAGGTAGTTTTAATGTTGAAAAACCCTTTGATTGATCATCTTGACATCGAGATGTATGAACATGAAAAATAAAAAGATTTTAAGTCTCAGAAATAGTACATTTTACAACATATTATCTACACCGTCCATTTTCAAGATTTTCATATATTTATAGATATACTCGATTTTAACTATTGTTGAAATTTTAAATTTTATAATTAGATATAAAAATAGATTTTGAGATAATCCTAAGAACATTTTACATCAAATTTACTTGATTTTAACCATTTTTTAAAATTAAAATTTTATAATTAGATATAAAACTAGATTTTGAGATAATACCTAATAATACTTTACATCAAATTTATATACCATGATCAAATTTGAAGGTGAACTTTACCTCCAACTGCACGCTAATCTAAAACTATGTATTCTTGCAACCATCTCAAAGTTAAAAAGTAAAGTATTTCATGACAAAAATACTCTCATTTCAACGCACACTTCTCTTTCTTATTATGCTCTTAGTTTATCTCTCTAAGCAGGTCTAACACATTGTCAGACCGACAAAATTTAAACATAGAAATTAGTCTAGCACATTCTGTGTTGGATCAACATAATTTCAATAAAAATCGGTCTAGCATATTTTTGTGTTGGACTTGTACAATTTTAATATCAGAAGCTGATCCAACATATTTTGTGTCCATCTAGTATATTTTTTTAGGAGCTAACCGACATATTTTGAAGATTAGAAGTCCATCCAATAAGGGATGGGGTTGGATCATGGTGGTAGCATCTTCAGACTCAGTTACCACATCGTGGTATCTATTCGTACCGCTGACACCTCCAATTAACACTTTCAAAATATAATTCCCTAATCTATTAACCAAAAAAAAATCCATCCGATACAATTTTTGAATGGAAAATAAATAATGGCAGTGTTAAGAGCTTGGTGTTTTAAGTGCGTGTTTGATAACAGAAAGTTGCTTTTTGGAAGTTAGAACTTACATATTACTGTTCGTCTATAAAAAAAAAGAAGGAAAATATGATATTATTATCTATTTTTAATTTTTATATATCTTCAGATCCAAAAATTGAAAATATTACTTGTAAGCAAAATGATTCCATCTTTTCTATCTTCCAGCCCCTTAAACTCTTTTGATCATGTATTATTGACCTCAATAACTAATGAAATGACTCTATATCTCTCTCTCACGGCATCATCTCTCTCTTTCTCAAAACTTCCTCTCTCTCTAAAACCCAAACTCTATTTTTCTCTCATATCATGGTCTCTTTCTCTCAAAATTCCATATCTCTCCGTAAAACTCAAATTCCATCTTTTTATCTCTCTAAAATTCCATCTTATCTAAGACCCAAACTCCATCTCTTTTTCACACATAAAAAGGTGTGCTCGTATTCGAGCTCAAGCTAAACCCTTTGACCGGTAAACTCACCAAGAAGTAAAAAAAAAGATAGAGTTTTAGAGAGAGATAGAGTTTGAACATGATGCCATTTTATGTTTGTTTGGATAAAAAATCTATCAGATAAAACAAGAATAAAGATATGTTTTTTTTACGGTAATATTTTCAATTTTTAGGTCTTACATTATATGAAAGTTAACAATAGAGAAATATTTACCTAACAAACACACAATAAACTAAATAAAGATATTACTCGTCACGGTTCGTGTCCCAAGCGTTTAAAAAAGTTCCGACTAAAAGGTGTCAAAACTTCCCCCGATAAAATTGTGCCCTAGGTTTACTCAGCGTCCCTTTGCAATTAGCCGCTCAGCAAAACAGCAGCTACACTGTGAAAGTTTTCTCTCGCTCTCTCTTCCCAGTAAAGGCAACCTCTCGCCCAATTCTATTCGCGGCCTTGCAACCTCAACAAGTACATCCAATCAGTGAGTTCTTTGTTGATTTTGCATTTTTTTCTTCTTTTTTCTTGCTAATTTTGGACTTCTCTATTAGCAACATTGTTCTCATTTTTTGGAGGAAGCCCTACAAAACCATTTATAGGGTTAAATCTACTTATTTTGTATAATTTCCTATGTTGAATGTAGTATTATATTGGTTTAATAGTTTCCTATGTTGTAAATCGAGTTCTAAGGCAATGTAAAAGCTTTATTTCGTGATTTTTCTATGTTGTAAATCTAGATTCAGGGTTAACTGATTGTTTTGAGTGCTTGACATCAAGTTCCCCGACAATCTATCCGTATTAGAGTGCTTGTTGGTTGTCTGCATGATAAGAATATGGATGCACAATCATTTGATATTTTGGACTCTTCTTGGAATCAGTATGCTTCATTCCAGACTGCTGTAATTTTGATTAGCTTGATTCACTGTGAGATTGCTACATTAGTATCACCCTAGTTAATGCAAACCTTAAAATTTGTTTTATTGTTTTTATTATGGAAACAATCCCAAAAAAAATTGAAAAAATTGAATTAGAGCTCGAAGAATTCTCAACCCTCAAACTCAATTCTGGAAAAATGCAAAAGATTTAAATCTTGTGGAGCTCCAAATCGAATATTATTTAGAGGAGCCAATCCAAAAATCGTTTATTTGAAAAAGAGGATTAGAAAAAAAAAGACATACTTGGTTCAGATTTCAGATTAGCTTGGGTAATCTGTCAAAAAAGTAGTTTTGATTAGCTTGGGTAATTCATATTTTCCTGTATCTCTCTCCTCTACCTCTTCTCCTACTTGCTTGGTTCAAATCTCCACAAAAAACCGTATTCTCTTCTCCTAAACTCATTCTCCAATTCAACTACATATTATTTTGGTAATGGGGTAAGGTTGGATCTCCTTACTCTTCACCAATCTGGACCCTTTATGGACTTTGAACACCACCACTCTGATCCTTCACTCCCAAACCTATCAGACTATGAGACCACCATCCCCAAGCACATGGACAATTGTCCATGCCATGATACCAAGAGAGAGAGAAGAAATTTGACACCCATATGCTATTTTTCAGAGACTATTCACATCAAATGAGTATTATTGGTTTTAGTTTTCTAGGACTTCTGTCAAGAAACTTTAGTTTTGGACTGGTCATAGTCAAATTTGGTAATTGGAAGGTGGTTTCGGGTTCATAATGAATGAGGATTTGGTTTCAGTGCTCTTATTGAACACTGATTTCTGAAGTGATGAACTTTACTTTCATGGCTAATTAAAATGTTGTTTGTCGTTTTTTCTATATTTCTGTTTAACTAATGCATGTCACATCCTTATTTGAGAAATTACTCGGATGTCGTTTGGATGACAATTCAATTTATCCATTAACCTTTTCAATGCCCTTTAGAGAATTATTGCTGAGTTATTGAGAAGGTTTTCTTCATTATGCTGCAAATTGTGGCAATACTCTATCATGAATATTAGCATCCTATCTGTTATTTACTGTAAGGATCTTCAGCTGTATTTGGTTTGAAAGAAACAATAAGATTGGCTGCAATGATTATGATGGCATCACATAGTTAGCATGATTTAGTCATTGAGGGGAAGGTGAAGTTATCAGGTGAGATGTTTTCATGCAATATGTAGGTGTCGAGAGAGAGAGCATTAGCTGGGGATGGACTTGATGACAATATTCTGATTATGACATTCATATGGGATGACTCATAATGGAAGACATTGCTTTAACCGCAGATGAGACCTTGGGTCTCTTCTTATATGAGATATTTTTCCTTCTTCTGATACTTATCTATAGCTATGCTCTCTAGTCTATTCATTGCCCATGTAGCTCCATACTGATTGTGTCTACCTGCCATATTCTATGCACCTTTTGCTTGGGATTTTATGAATGTGAATGTGAATTTGAATTATAGACAACTTGAACTTAGAGAAACCTATACTTGAAGAATAGGTCCTTACTAATTATCTTGCTTTCTTTTATAGGATTTGATTAGATTTCTGATATTATGCTCTCTTTTGTTATGCTTTATTTATGGTTCAAGAGTACAAGGTGCTTATTTTTCTGGTTGAGCATGTACACTTCCAACATTGTCTTTTTTTGCATCCTTGGGAACCTTTTGTGTGCTAAATGCTAAACAGTTCAGCATGTTGAATTGTGGTCAATGCATTCTTATTTTGATCTTTTATATTGAATTCTATGATGGTTTTACTTTGTACAGTTTTGGCATATTCAACGCATTGAATTTCCTTAAGCTCTATATGACAATTTTTTGCGTTGTTTCTCTCTAAAGTGTGTAGACGATATAGATCTGCATTCTCGTTGTTGTAGAACTTGGTTACTGGATTGTACTTTGAGCTTCCAATGATTACTAAAATTCATTGTGGTACTTTGTTCTGGCTTTCTCTGCATTTTCTCTATTTATGTTTGAGCTATAATGCTTTGTACTTTTGATTATTTATTTATTCTTAATATTTAGTGCCTTCTAGTTTAAAGAAATCAACCTAACGAGGCTTTATTATAACTGCTAAAGATTATCATAACAATATGAGCCAGTGGAACCCTGTAGAGGACGCCCAAGAACTTCTTTAACTTCCTAGGAAGTTAAAACCAGGAACTTCTTTAACTTCCCAGGAGGTTATCAAACGCAGAGACCATGAACTTCTTACAGTAACTTATATCTTCCCAGCAAGGAGGAACTTCCAATTTACAGTTCATGAACTTGCTTCCAGTTATCAAATAGGCCCTAAGGGCGTGTTTGATAACAAGAAGTTGCTTCCCAGAAGTTAGAACTTACCTATTACTGTTCATCTTATGTGTTTGATAGAAAACAGTAAGATAAGTAAAAGAACTTCCACTTACTGTTCATGTTCCCAACTTTGTATGTAAAAAAAGTTCCGTCAAAAAGGTCAGAACTTCAAAATGGAAGTTTATATCTAAACTTCCCCCCGATAAAAAAAAGTGTGCCCTAAAAACTTCTCTTTGCACCGCCGCAAAGCCAGACCCCTCTCTTTGCACTCAGCTGTTCAGCCAGACCCCTCTCTTCGCACTCAATCGCTCAGCCTGAGCCATCTCTTCATTGTCCAAGAAGGCGGAGGAGCAAGCAAAGAGCTCTGATCCTGTGTTCATCTTTCTTGAGGTATGCTATTGAGCTCTGATTTTGTGGGTATTCATAAATAACGCCCGGTTCTTGTTGGATGTTGGTATATTGATCTTTCCTGATGATTTGGAGGGTTCACATCAATAACATGAGATCAAAATTTCGTCTGTATTAACTGTTGATGTTGGGGTTCTCACGAAAAATCGCTGTGGTGTAAAATTTTGGCTGAGTATTTGCTTTTTGTGTGTCAATTGCGGGTATTGTTTGAGATTTTGGTTGTTGGAGAGTAGAGGGAGTCTGATTACTTTGAAAGGTCAGGAAATTAGTACTCTCTCTCTCTCTCTCTCTCTGAGATAGTTGGGCTGTAGGTTCCTTCCTAGATGTGGATTCCCCATATACGCTTTTTTCTTGTGATGGAGACTCTGATGTTCTTGTTTGAAGGAGAAGTTGCACGGATTATTCGAGTCCTGTAATTTGAAATAAGATTGTCTTCTAGTGTCAGTCATGCTCCTAAACTGATGTATCTAAAGACTTCTGGAAGAATATCATCAGTCTATCGTAGTGATGTATTTTCATCATGACTGATATTTAATTTGACTGCCAAAAACTTAATAATTGATGTTCGGGCATCCCATTTTTTTCATAGTTTGTTACACACTAGAAACTGTTAGAAAAGCACCATCTTCTATGGTTTTGTAATGCACTGGTCTCCACTGATGGTTCAAGAATCTATGCATATTCAGATTGCATTATTAGTTGCTAAGTTGCTAGTGCTATGATGCATACATCCTACATATGCAGCATTACTTTGGAGTTGCCTTACCTAAAATTTATGTTGCTTTAATAGCTTACAAAAATTTCACGAAAATATGTATTTAATTGTTCCATTTGTAATTCAAAATCTTTATATGTTTTCTCACAATCACTAGCTATTTAGAATTCAAGGTTCCTACATGTTGAATTCTTGGCATCAATTGTGGCTACTTTTGTGGCCTCTATTTGTTAGATTGATGCTAGATTTTTGTTCTCATCGCATAAATGCTTGCACCAATTTTTCTGCATATTCAGTTTAATGTTGCTTTAACTTGAATTCATATGGGATGGCTCATAATGGAAGACATTGCTTTAACTGCAGATGAGACCTTGGGTCTCTTCTTATATGAGATATTTCCTTCTTCTGATACTTAACTATTTCTATGCTCTCTAGTCTATTCATTGCCCATTTAGCTCCTTACTGATTATGTATACCTGCCATATTCTATGCTCCTTTTGCTTGGGTTCTTATGAATGTGAATTTGAATTATATACAACTTGAACTTAGAGAAACCTATGCTTGAAGAATTGGCCCTTACTAATTATCTTACTTTCTTTTATAGGATTTGATTAGATTTATGTTATTATGCTCTCTTTCGTTATGCTTTACTTATGTTTCAATAGTACAGGTTGTTAGAACTTACTTAATATTCCAGGAGGTTATCAAACACAGAAACCAGGAACTTCTTTAACTTTCCAGGAGGTTATCAAACACAGAAACCACGAACTTCTATCAACTTCCAATTTACAGCTCATGAACTTACTTCTAGTTATCAAACAGGCCCTAAGTGTTGGGGGTTAGTCAGGCGGAAGGGCGGCGGACGTGCCTGTAAATTGTGAACTTGGGGGTAATCTCTAATTTTCCTAGAACAAGAGCACAACTTTTGAAAACCCCGGACCTCGAAACCTTACTGCAACTCACCTATGGCCCGTCCCCCAAAGGTTAGCGTTTCTCTCTCTCTCCCTTCTTAGTGTCCTCTTTCCATGGGCGACTCTCTTTCTTTCTCTGTCTAAAGAGACCGTCCTCTATCTCTCCCCCTCTCTCTCCCTTATTTTTTCTCTCCAAGGATGATTCTCTCTCTCTTTTAAGAGGCCTTCCTCTCTCTCTATCTCTCTTGTGTTTCTATTGCAATACACTGTACTTCTATGGGCGACTCTGTTTCTCTCTCTGTCTAAAGAGACTGTCCTCTCTCTCCCGTAGTTTTTCTCTCCAAGGACGACTCTCTCTTTCAAGAGGCCTTCCTCTCTCTCTATCTCCCTTGTGTTTCTATTGCAATACAATGTACTGAGATATTTATTGATTTATTGATAATATGTCTGTGAAAAGGAGAGGAAGAAGAAGCGGAAGGTGCAAAGCAAGTCCACTGCAAAAGTGAAGCCTCGGAATGTGGATCATGTCACTGGTGATAATATCCCAAAGAGCTTCATTTTTTCAAGGGGCAAACTTCCATCTTCACTAAGAGGCTTGCAAATGGATCTTCGAAAGCTTATGCTTCCTCACACTGCTCTCAAATTGAGGGTAACTCTCTCATATGGTCACCTTTACTTAGTTTTTTTTGATCTCTTGTGGCTTTAATTTCAGATATTACAATTTTTTTAGTCTTATAAATATACTAACTTCAGTTGCTTATTGTATGTTGCAAATGGATGTGTAATTAAAGCATAGCTGAATTGCTCTGTGAATTTTTGAAAAGCTTGGATGGACTTGAAGGTTGTGTATTTTCCCTCTGGAAATGTTTTTCATTCTAGAAGGAAAGATAAAGAAAAGGTTGTCTCTTTCTCCTGTTGAGAAATTGTTTCTTTTCGAAGAAAACACAAAAATAAAAAAAGAAAAGAGAAAAGCAAAATCCTCAAAAAACACAGGGATTTTGGGCAACAATTCCTTAGAATGTTGGACGTTTTGTATGTCCTTGTGAGATCCCATTGACACCTTGTAAACATTTTGATATGGTTTGGGGTTGAATTCAACTTGTGGTGGCATAAAACGACTCTTGTGCTATAAAAGAAGATAATATGTGTAAATGAGTTTCATCATCATCATCATCATCATCATCGTTTCTTCAAAAAAATCATCATCATCATAGCCTTTTCCGAACTATTTGGGGTCGGCTATATGAATCCTGGTCCGCCACTTTACTTTATCAAGGGCCATACACTCAGTGAGGCCATAAGTCCCCGTATCTTTTTTCACTACTTCCAGTTATATCCTTTTGGGCCTACTCTTGGCCCTTTGTGAGCCTTCCACCTGGGCTAACTCACACCTCCACCTACATTTACTTTCTATTAACTTATCGTCTATTGGAGCCACACTTAAATTTTCCTGAATCTATTCATTTCAATTTCTATCCCTTCTTGTGTTGGCACTCATCGATCTCGACATCTTCAATTCAGCTACACTCATGTTATGGGTATGTTGTTTCTTGACCGCCTAACATTTCAAATTCTATCCCTTTTTGTCTTGCCACTCATCCATCTTGACATCCTCAACTAAGCTACACTCATGCTATGGGTATGTTGTTTCTTGACCCCCCAACATTTCGTCCATAAAGCAAAGCTGGTCTCACAACTATCCTATAGAACTTGCCGTTCAACTTCATAGGTATGTGGCGATCACATAAATGTCCAGTTGCACATCTCCACTTTGCCCACCATGTTCTAATTCTATGTGTGACATCTTCCTCAATCTCTCAATTTTTCTAAATTATCGTCCCAAGACATCGAAAGTGCGTTTTTTTGTTATTTCTTGGTCATCAATCTTCACTAATTCCTCATATATACTCTTGTTATTACTAAACTTGCCTTCCATGTACTCTGTCTTAGTCAGGTTAATTTAAAACCTTTAAATTCTAGAGTATCCCTCCAAAGTCCTAACTTTGTGTTGACGCCGCGTCGGGTCTCATCGATCAAAACTATGTCGTCCTCGAATAACATAAACCACGATACTTCATCTTGTGAGTGCCTCGTTAAATCGTCCATAACTAAGACAAATAGGCATGGGCTCAATTCTGACTATTGATGTGGACCTATTATCACTGAAAACTCACTCATCTCTCCAGTAGTTGTTCGCACACTAGTTAGCGCTCCCTCGTACATATCTCTCACCAAGTCGATGTCGTATCTAGAGACTCTTTTCTTTTCAAACATCCACCAAATTAAATATTGAGGTACTCTATCATAAGCTTTCTCTAAATCAATAAAGACCATGTGGAGGTTCTTTTCCTTTGCCTTAAACTTCTCAATCAGTTGCCTAAGTAGGAAAATAGCCTCAATTGTTGACCATGTGTAATTGAGTTTAATAGCTCTATATTAGGGTTCACACACTCTTCATTTTGAGTCGTCAATGATACAGTAAGGATGGGGTTTCTAGACTTTCCATTCACTATCTTATCTCAAATTTTTTGTAAGGGTTCATTTCGAGTTGGGTACATAAAGTGGATGTCATTTATGGGGACAGCTGGGGCATTCACACTCCACTTAGGCACCTTACTCCACGGTGTAGATGACTTAAGGAGTCATAAAAAAGAAAAAATAAAAAATGAAATGAATGAGCTTAGTCAACCCAACAGGAGATTGGAGGACCAAGAAACTGAGAGTGACTCCAAGTCTGAAGATCAAGGTCTGAATGAAGCGATTCAAGGAGAAAAAACTCAATAGAAATTCAACAACCACTATCAAGGACCGTGGGATATCAACTAGGGGCAAGGAAAATTTAAAGATAACAAAGATTAGATACTCCTTGCTACTTAGAGGAAGGAAAGATGATAGAGTTCTCATTTGTTTCTTGGACGAAGTGCCACAATAAGGGAAATGCACCACTACCTCTTTTTTTTCTTCTCCCTCTACTTTTTTCATCCTCTTCAAGGAAAAAAAAAAGCAAAAAAAGAAAAAGAGAAGGGAAAAAAGAAAAAAATGGAAAAAAAAAAAAGAACATAAATCTTCGTAAGGGTTCACTTTCAATTGCATTGTGCTATTGTTCCTTCTGGGATAGTAATGTGCTTTAACATCTGATATTTTACTGGAATTAATATGGGTTTTAGATCTATAGATCATTAGAATGACGCCCTGTATTTTGCAACTATCATGCTTATTATTTATTTGTAATCATAACCATGGCCTATTCATTGCTTTGATAATTGTTGATCGGAAATAAATATATTGGCATGGATGTTTTACTTGATTTGTTAAAAATAAAAGTGTTTGTGTTATCTTGAAATTTCTGAAGCTCATGGATCACCTATGAGATGTGCCAATATATTTGATAAATTTCCATGTAATTGGCTCTGTGCACTTGTACTTTGAGTATAGGTTTCTTACCTGGTTATTTACTGTTTTTGTTATGTATTTGAGTTCTGTATTGTGATGTGCCGATGCTCTACCTTTGTTTCCTTTGGGTTTGACAGGAGAAGAAGAGAAACAACCTTAAGGACTTCTTGAATCTTGCAGGGCCAATGGGTGTCACACATTTTCTAATTTTATCAAAAACAGATAGTTCTCCCTATTTGAGAGTGGCCAGAACACCTCAAGGCCCAACCCTCTCTTTCAAAATACACGAGTACTCACTAGCCGTCGATGTTGCTCATTCTCAGGCTAGACCAAGATGCCCACCAGAAGTGTTCAAAACCTCACCTCTGGTACACCACCACTCTTATGAGATGCTTCTTCTTTGTAATATTCTGTCTTTTTGTTTTGCAGCTTCCTAATTTTATGTTTGCTTTATCAGGGTTGGAAAAATAGGGACAAAATTTTTGGGGAAAATTACATATGGACCCCTAAAAAATTATTTAATTTCATAACTCACTTAGTTTTCTTATCGCATGGCATTAAGTTTTACAGGTATGTATCATCCCACCTCCTCACATCTCTCCTCTTTCTTGAAATTTTTTACCTCATTAACTGCCCCAAAGAATTATTTTTACCTCAGTAATTTGCCTTCCTTATCTCTAGCTTTTTTGAGAGACAAGAGAGAGAGGATTGGGGATTTTTTTTTTTTTTGTTTCGGGAAATTATTGGGGTAAAGATAACAAAGGAAAGCGAGGAAGGGTGGGATGATATATACCTCTGAAAATTAATGCCGCGTGATAGTAAGAAGGAGAGAGGCGTTATTGAAATTGCATTTTTTTGAGGTGTCTGTACGAAATTTCCTAATGCTTATTCTTCTAGTTGTTCATTGCTAGTTGAGGTTTCTATTTTCTCCTTCTATTGCTAGTTGAAGTTTCTATTTTCTTCTTTTATTCATAATGCCACATTCGTGATTGCCTCAAGCTTCAACACAGTTTAGGTTACAAAGTTTTACTTATATATGTAGTTTATTTGATCTTCAATTTGCATAAAGTTGATAACGGGGAGGACTTTTTTGGCAGATCGTTCTTTCTGGTTTTGGAACTGGAGAACAACATCTCAAGCTCGTTACAATTATGTTTCAGAACATATTCCCATCAATTGATGTGAACACAGTCAGTACTTGTGCACTTACATGAATCAATCCTACTATATTTAATATTGCTATTGTAAATAGTCTTCTTTTTAATACACAAGTCGATCTTTTCTTCAAGAAAATATTTAATATCTCTAAGTTTAATTTTCTTTCCACAATATGCGTCACATGTTGCTCATGATGCTCCCCTTCTTATGCAGGTGAAGCTCTCTTCATGTCAGAGGATTGTATTGCTTAATTATGACAAAGAAACAAAGCTTATTGATTTTCGACATTATACAATTATGTTGCAGCCTGTTGGAGTCTCACGGAGAATCCGAAAGTTTGTACAGAACCATGAAGTACCAGATTTAAGAAATCTTCGAGATGTTGGTGACTTTTTTGCAAAGTGAGATACCTTTTCTCCCTTCCATATTCTTTTTTTGATGGAAGTTGACTTTAACTTAAAATAGAAGGAGTTACACCATCAAAGTTAGGTCCACCACTCGTGGACCTCAGATGTGTCATAGTCTCCCTTCGATATTGTTAACATATCTAGTGATGAAGTTATTTCTCAAAAAAAAATAAAAAACTTAGCGATGAAGTTAAAACTACAGTGACATAAGTGTTTTGACCATTTTCCCCATTAAAGTATAGGGAAAATATCTCCATACCCCCCATTTTTAAGTTTTATATCTCAATGGACTCAAGGTTTCAAAACATATTTTGGGTCATAAAAATTCTAAGTTTTATATCTTTTAACTCCCTAAGTTAACTTTATCCCTTTTAAACCTATTTTTTTGCCTCAAACAAATATAAGAAAGACATATCCTTTCTAAACACCATTCTCTATCTCTTCACATGATTTTCCCCTAAATCTCTCTCTACCTATTTTTCCACTCTTTCTCCCCTGTGTCTCTCACTCTCTCTTCCCCGTTAGAGAGAGAAATACAGTGAATGTTAGAGAGAGAAATTTGGAGGGAATATATCACGTAAAGAGATGAATGGTTTAGAATGAGCATGTCTTTTTTATATTTGTTAGGGCGAAACAAAAAGTTAAAAGTTGGTAAAGTTAGTCAGAGGGTTAGGAGATATATTTTGAATCTTTGGGTCTATTGAGATATGAAAACCAAAAATAAGGGGTCCGAGGATATTTTCTGTAAAATATATCCCACACTTAGATGCCATAATGTATGGTGTACATAGTGACAGTCTTTTGGATGCAATTGCCTAAGAATCACTTCCATTAGAAATAGGTTTCGCTGTGGGCCCAGGCACAGATGTAGTAAGGGAAGGCCAAGTGGCCTATAGCTACGATGAAGACCCAAATTCCGAAACACTACTAAGGGCATGTTGTTTCGCGTAAAAACATTTTTCGGGAAATATTTTTACGTGAAAGAATTCCCTCATGTTGTTAGGTATGACAATATTTTCACACCAATTGGTCCCAGTGCATCTTTTCATACCAATTGGCAGCTAATTGGTGCGAAATATTCCCAGACCTAACCACGTGAGGGAATTTTTCCATGTGAAAATATTTCCCGAGAAATATTTTTATGCCAACCAAACATGCCCTAAGGGAATTTATGTCTCCTTAAAATTTTCAAAACGTGGTTGACTCACCGAGTTATCAATTTCAAAAATGAAAACCTCTTTTTAGCTGTTGAGAATAGGCTTTAGAGTCATCCTTATAGGGGATGTTGAAATGGAGCATTTCTTGAGCTCCAAATCAATTTGTTTTAGATCAATCTGATACATAATGAAGATTTGAGACTTTATGGGCTCTTGGTTTATAGAATCTTTTTGATAATGTAACCAATTATTATAGACAATACAAATATTAGAATACTATAATCCTTCTGTGTTTGAAAGGGATTATAGGGGAGTTAGAGCGATTGCTTCTTAGGGCAACAGATATTATTTTGGACAACATGATGCTATGTTTGCAAGACCTGAACTTACCAAACATGCTTACCTGCCCAGAGTTGTCTTGATAGAGCAATTCCTCATAGTGGGGCCGTGGCTTGAAGAAAATATCATTTTGTCTATCAAATTGCTCCCTCAAAAACCTGTTGTAAAGGACGAATGAGTCTCCGAAACCCAGCTTATCTTTGCTCCAGATTTTACTTTACCACTCAGTAGAAAATGATGATAGATGTTCCTCTTTTGATCTTCGCTAGGACGAGGTTGTCCATAACTCATCCGAGCAGTCCTTGGGAAGATTGCCATGATAATCAACTTATGCGGCCTTGAATGACTCATAAAGGGTATGCATATTAGGGAAATGGAATTCCCTATTATAAAGATCGTAGCCAGTGAGGACCTTGTTTATTATCACCAGATATAAGCCACAATTGAATTGATCAAGTCTTTCATACTAAACCAGGCTATTTAATAGAGATGTTGTTTAAGGGATTCCTTTTGCATATTCACAAATGCCATCTGCACAACTTGTTTGGGAACTTGGCCTTTTGTCAACCTGGCATTTACAACATTTGCTATGTTTTTGGCTGTCATTAAGGTGGATGATCTGGGCCAAAGTTACCAGATAGCCCAAGAAGATAGTTGCTCCAGCTCTGGAAGCTGCGATCCTACGCTTTGGAATATGGGATCTCGATTCCAGACATTTTTTTGAATTTAGGGATCTCAATCCACAAAGTTGGGGATCTAGATCGCCCTCATCCAAATCATGGGTCCATGAATGAGTGGGATTGAACCTCTACCGTGGAATCGAGTTTCTTTTACATTAGTACCGAAGATCGCCAACACAATTCGAGTTTCATGCCCTGATTACCCGCCTGCATCTTCCCCCACCCATCCTCTCTCTAACTCTCTAGCCCATTCTCCCTCTCTCTCTCTCTATCTCTTGGCCCCTCTCCTTCCCTCTCCCTCCCTCTCTCTCTCCTCTCTCTCTCTTGCTCTCTCCCTCCTGTTGCAAGAGCATATTTCTCTAAAAATTCTGAAATCTGAATTGGTTTTCGATATAAAGATCTATCAATTGAGAAACAGTTCCAATACCAACAATGGAAATCAGGGTTTGCAGCTTGAAGTTTGATCTTTGAACTTGTATATCACAAAAATAAATAATAAAACATACAAGCTGCTGCCATATCATATTATGAAACTCATAGATGCCGGAGAGCAGCTGTAAAGCTAAAGCTTTACCATGTCCAGCCTTAAATCCGTATCATTTCATTGACTAGAAGCTCTATAGGCTTTATGCAATTGATCTTTGTCTTTAATGCCTCTTGTTGACCATATTCACCAATACATGTTGACCATATTCACCAATACAGAGACCTTTGCAAGCTTACCCTTTCTTTGCTTTTGGACCCTTTTTTTCTCTAGAGCTAGAGAGCGTTTGACCAGTTTTCTTGCTCAATACCCTGTGAGTGAAGGAACCCAAGTGAGGGAAAACAAGGACACCACATTTCCATCAAGCACTGGACCTTGTTTCATGTCTGAGAATTGAAACACACTCCAATGATTAAAAAAAATTTAAAAATACTTTAAAAATGGGATTCATAATATTTAATGATTCTTTGATTTTTGACCATTATTCATATTGTTCAACTGATTTTGTTCTCGTGCTAGAGTACCCTAGTTAAGTGCTCTTAGGGAGCCTTGATTTTAAGCTGGACAGACCTTGATCCTGTACCCTTCATCATTCGATCCTCGACAAATTTAGATTGCAATCCCTTCATATTGGGATGGCAGTCCCTTTAACTCATGGTACATGAATCTCGATCCCTAACCCTTGGATCTTCGTGCATCTCTCAATTCCAAGGTCTCGACCCTGCTCCGAGGAACCTTAGTTCATAACCCATACTATCAACCTTTTAAAGCTCAAATTGTCCTTCTTCTTTCCATCTAGTGAAAAGTGCACCTTCTCTAAAGAAGTTGGCGATAATTGGTGACCCTCCATATCTTTAGGGCCTCACAACACAATCTGCCTCCAGAAATTCTGTCCCTTATATAAGCTTCTCTAAGATACCAAATTGCAATTGACCAAATGGCAACTTACTAACATCTGAAGACACTTTCTCGAACATGCTTGATTGCATACTGCTGAAGCATTTGGTCCAGCCAGCCTTATGATTCATGATTCTTGAACTTGTGTTCTATAAAATGAACTGAGTCTTCTGTCCCACCTGATTTCACAAGAAATCACTATGTACTCTCCATAATGATTAGTTCTTTATTCTTGAAATTGGGATATGTTCATCACTTTTGGGATATCATGACTGGTTTTGACTTCTTTTAGTATAAGACAACATGTGACTTGGATTTATTTTGGGTCAATCCTAATCCAAAAAGCAAAATCCTGATAGACAAGGTTGTTTATTTATTTATTTGTGGATACCTAAGTGCATAGTTTATCACAAAAATATGATTATTCTCCTTTGAATATTTTACTAAACTATGTAGAAAGAGCAGAATGGCCCTTATGAAACTTTGTATGTTTGGTGATAGATGTGGATAACATTGACTTACTTGAGCAGAAATGCACTTAACTTTTTGCCTTGAAGGTTCTAAGAAAGGTTAAAAAAAACGGATCGGTGACCCAGATCACCCATCCCGAAAACTAGGTTTGGATCAGTTGGATCGGCAAGATCTGGCATTAAAGATATTGGTATTGCATTATAGTTTTTTTTAAAATTAAAAATACATCAGTATTGAGAACCTGTCTCATGTTTGAATGTTTGTTATCCATTACATTCATTTTATAGTCAAATAAAATTTAAAATGCAACTCAATCCAATCAAATGGATATCTCTAACTCAAATTTATCTGTTATATATTAAGTGAGAGGACTACCCCGCATATTCTTTCACCACGTGTCCCATGATATTAATAACTTTCTCTTCCCTACATCTCTCTTATGCCCATACAATCATCTCAGGCACTCTCTCCCCCACATCTTTCTCATACCCATACATATCATCTCATCCCATTCTTTCCCTTCCTTTAATCATCCCTCTTCTCTCTCTATTTCCTAATAACTCCAAGGTTTCTCTCTCTTCTTTCCTCCCCCATATTAATCTCTCTCCTCTCCCATATTAATCTCTCGCTCCTTTCTCCTCTCCCCATATTAACTATATCTCTTTTAATTTACTCTTTTCCCCTTCTCCCTCCCCACATTTACTCTCGCTCTTCCTCCTAAATGCATAAAAACCATAAATATAGGTAACTCTTTTTTAATGTAGACATAAATATAGGTAACTCTTTTTTTAGTGTAATGTTTTCATGCAACTCTCTTCCTCCTGCATGAATAAAAAGACAAAAATATAAGTAACTCTTTTTTTAGTTTTTATGTAACTCCTTTTTTAATATGATGTCTGTTTATCTCTCTCTTTCTATTTAATTTACTCTCTCTGCCTCCCACTTTTCTCTCCCTTCTCTATGTAATTTATTCTCTACCTCCCATGTTTCTCTCTCCCTCCCATGTTTCTCTCTCCTACTATGTAACAAGCCATTCATGTTTATCTGCCTCCCACGTTTCCCACTCCCACCCTGTCACACCCAAACTTACGAGGAAGCTCTCTCTCTCTCTCTCTCTAGACTATCCTAGAACTCCCTCGAGTAGTTTTTTTTAGAAATATTTTTCTAAATGAAAGATAGAAGGTATGTTTTCCATCTCTATCTATATATATAGTATATTATTCAAGTTACAATGTAGTTTTTTAATTACAGCTAATAAGTGGTTTGAGCTCACTCACCCTCTATATCTCTCTCTAGCATTGTTTGCAAAATCGCCCGATGTAATCGCTACCCGCCTAGTTAGATCGGACCCGGCCACTGGCCGGTTCCGGTTTTGGGTGGTTAGGGTGATGAGCCGGTATTTAAAAAAAAAAATTCAAAAAAATTTATATAAATTCTCAAAAATAAGGAATTCGATATGTAATGCATTTTTAAATATTCTTTATGTTATGGTAAAGATTAAAAAATGTTTTGGTCGTTAATACTAACTTTTATGTTTCCCATTTTTTTTAGAAAATTTTAAAAATTGCCTTAGGAAAATATAAACTGGGTTAAAATCCATTTTTTTCATTAATTTTCAACTTTATTTGAATCTGTTTTGTTTTAATCATGCTTTATATGTTTTTCATTTTATATTAAATTTTTTTTTTTTATCTTTTTTATTCTTTTCAACACTTTTTTGACAGCCCGGGACTTACCCGGTTAGAGCGGTTGAATCGGCCGGTTTACTGGTAAGGCCGGTTAAATCGCTTCTAGGCTCATGTCCGGTTAACTATCCCTGTTCGATTTTACGAACATTGCTCTCTAATGTTATAATAATAATAATAATAACTATAACTATAGTTATAGTTGTTGTTGATGTTGTTGTTATTACCATTATTATTCTTTATTTTATTGAATCATTTTATTTTATTTATTTTAATTGCATATAACTTATTTATTGATATTACTCTTTCTTCTAGCTTTCTCTTGCTATTTTTCAAATGGATTATGTCTCTTTTGGTCTCTATTGGGAAGTAGAAAATTTGTTTATTTTTGTTTTATTCTTATGTTAAATGCTGTATCGATTTATTTTCATCTCAATTTTTTCCTTTTTATGTATTTTAAATATTTTATGATTATTTGAATATTAAAAATCCTTTTGTAACTACAATATTATATTTCTAGCAAAAAAATATGTGATGAAGTATATATAAAATTTAATTCCTTTTTTGGGAGATACTTGAGTAATTTTTATTTTCTAATTATGAATTTTGATCACCTCTCCCCTAGCTTTCCTCACTATTTTTCATTTGCCCTATATCAATTTTTATTTCTCTATTTAAAATAGCATTTAAAATATTTTCACCTCCCTATAATCGTATTTTATCACAAATAGTATACCTGAATTAGTTATTTATTGCATGGTTTTTGAAAAATCATAATTATTTCATAAAGTTATTCAATAGTGAGGATAAATTCAATGATCTCTAAGACCATGTTTTATTGAAAATATTTTTCAATGATAAACATGTTTCAGTGATTTATATTAAATATCACGTTCAACGCACGTGCATATTACTAGTTGTGAAAAAAAAGGAGGTGTATGATATTTTTGGAGCTTTTGATTTAATAGAGAGAAAACAAAGGTATGACCTTCACAAATAAATAGATCTAATGTGCAAGAATTAGTACAGACAAGAATATAGCATTTAGAAACATGAATTTGCAATCATGTGGGTGTATGGACTAAAGGTGCCCCATGAGCTAGTGTTATGTTTTTCTTTTAAAATATTCCATGAACTAGTATTATTTTTCTTTTGAAATATCCCTTAAATTAATATTATTATTTTCTTTTTAAATATTCCATGAACTAGTATTATTTTATTCTTGTTAAGCATCCCAGTGAACTAGTATTATTCACCCCACATTTTATTAACCGGAGTTTATTCACCCCTACATGTTTGAGAGAAAGGAGGGAAAAATTATCCCACATCGAACATTTGTGTGAGCAAAGGTCTTTATAAAAAGGGCATGACCCAACTTCCTTGTGATGAGTTGCCATGCATGAGGTGGCATAGTTATGCCTCATTTAGGAAAGTGGGGCCAGCGATAATGTGCCCATATTTTTTAATGAAAAAATTAAACGGTTGCAAATTTAAAACTGGGAAGGGTGAGCCCACATTTTCACTTAAAAAATTTGTGTACTAAAAAATTGAAAAACGTGATTGTTGCAACCGATTAAAAAACGTGGGAACAGGTTGAGGTGTTAGGTTCCCTCTGACAGAACTGACATGGTCTGGCCCAACCGGGCTAGATCTAGGGAGAAACGGCTGGCTCTCGATATATTGTGGGAACCAAATTGCCTAGGACAATTTTCTGTCAGGATCGGAACCAATCCGGATCGGTGAGTTTTCAAACATTGGTTCTAAGTTCCTCTTGGACCCCCAAGAGTACAACTTAGGACTTTGAAGGTCTTAAGTTCTTTAATGCAGGACCTTGAAGGTTTCAAGGTTCTAATTTTCTCCTAATCGTCCTAGAGCCACCTTAATTGCCAGATAGAGGCTCTTGGGAGTCCAGCAAGAACTTAGGACCTTGAAGGTCCTAAGGTGGCTTGTGGGGTCCTAAGTTCCTCCTGAACTATCAGGAACCATCCTTTGGCATTTGAGGTGGCTCTTGGGGGATTAGGAGGAAACATTGTTGCTAGAACCTTGTAGGCAAGGTCACGGACCCGGTCCAGAACCTCGATCCCATCATTCCGGCCAAGGATCTTGGATGGAACGTGAATCTTAATATTGTGATCCTCGTTTCTAGCAGGTTTGAATCGTGGTTCTATGATGTTTTCTCTACTCGGTGGTGCTTTATATGCACGGATTTAGGTTTTTGGCCAATGGTAATGTGAACCTAAACATAAATCGCGATCAAGGTATCAAAAAACGCTAGGCGGCCAGCGCCCTGCGCCTAGCTGGGCGGTCAGATCCTCGGGCACCCTGTAGTGGAAAATCATCAATTTTTAGCCCTGTAGTGGAAAATCATAGCATTTTTAAATATATTTGCTATCCTAATGTACATAAATGCATATATTTGTGTCAAATTTTGTAATTTACTCCATTTCGCAACATACGTTTTACTTTGGGGGTTCAAAAATAAACCCCATAACTTTTTATACAAACTTGAGGGTCAAAATGACCTATTTTTCCCTTTTGGGCGAATTTAAAAAGCAATTTTCGCCTGACTTCACTGGGCGCCCGCCCGGGTGAAAATGCCCGTTTCGGGCGTCTTTTCATGAGGCGCGGTTTTTTGTTAAAAACCGCCTAGGCGGGCAGACCCTTTTTTTAAACAATGATCGCGATCTCTTATAACTCACTAATTTCGATTCCTGCATCATGGAATTGAGATTCCCTATAACAAGGATCGAGCTTCCTTCATATAGGATTGTATGTATGACGATCCTAACCACATGGATCTTCTAGCAATCCACAGTTCAACAGACCTGAACTAGTTCCATTTCGGGGAACGCACCCGCACTTGACAACTATGGGAGGAACTTAAGATCTTGAAGCTTCTAAACTATTTTTGCTTAGGACCTTCAAGGTTCTAGACTCTACCTTCAAGGTCCTAAGTTCATGGATCCCCATGATCCATGCTCTGGCAACCAAGGTGGCTCTTGCGGTCGATGAGGAACTTAGGACCTTAGATGTCCTAAGTTAAAGACCTTAGGTCCTAAGTTTGCTCTCTTGGGGGTCTAGGAAGAACTTAAGACCTTGAAGTTCGTAAGTTGACGGTAAGTTGGTCATTTTTTTAAAATGAAAAAAAATGGATATGACTGTAATAACGGAAATTTGGGGGGGACTTTTCTAAATAATGAAAATTCATGAGGATCGATGTGCAAATGTCTCAGTAATAAATCTATTCGGTAATTACTAAAATATTTATGCATTAGCTCTAGCATACAATTTGTCGTATACCTCAAATCCTAGCATGGGTTAACTAATCAGTTAGAGTCCTCTGAGATAGTGCTTGACTTACTAATGGCTACGTTAACTTGCTTGTGGTCCAAGTGAAGTTAGGTTAGGCATGGTAGTGACTTGTTTTAGATAATAGTTATTTGCCCTACTAGTATTCTATTAGTTCATTTGTTGAATTGCTTCTATAAAAGAAATACTAAGTTTACGAAGTTTCTATGTTTTTATAGTTATGTTATTTCTAGACTGAAATATGGAATTATTCAAGAGAAAAGCCCTTAGTTATATCTCATCGGTCTTCATGCATTTCATGTATTTATTTATGACTTGTAGATCAAACTTATTGGTTTATATGCCATATATTTGAAGGGCTGGCTATGGGTCTGAAAGTGAAGCAGATGATGAAGCTGCCACAGTCAGCTTGCCAAATGATCTTGGTAGAGTAAACCGTGCATCTACAAGAAGTGCAGTGAAACTTCAAGAGATAGGACCCAGGATGACTCTCCAACTAGTCAAAATTGAAGAAGGATTATGCTCTGGAGGCATTATATTCAATGAATACAGTAAGTACAGTATATTTATTTTATATTTCTCTACCCTTTGATGTCTTGAAAGTGCCTTTTACTTTATATTGGTTCAATGGAACAATCAGAGAAGACTTTAAATTGCTTATTTGCTTTTTTCATGAATGTATCTTTTTAGGGGAGTGTATTGCACACACACAATGCGTACACTGGTACACACATTGGAGTGCATACGATGTCCATTCAGACAAGGGATGGATGGAGATGAAATATTATATGGTCATGGCTCTGGTCACGACTGGCCATTTTCTGCGTGGACAGTTGATGCACTTCCTGTGCCTTACAAGCATGCACTTGCATATAGTATTTTCCTTCTTTATCATTTGCCGACTTGTATTTTGTTAAAGATAGATTTTGCATTTTATCACAATTCATAGACTTTGTAGTGTTATTTTCAAGGTTTAGCTGAGATGGAAGTTCAGAATTCAGTATTTGTTTTTTTTTTTTTTTTTTGTAGCTAAGGTTAACTTTTATACTAAAGAGGAAAATTTTTACATGAAGTTTACTTCCTATTGGCATCCCACATATTGGGTGATCGGAGTACAAACAAAAATCATTGTAGAAAGAGTGAGCTGTTTTAGCAGATTTGGCATAGGGGTTGAGAGAGAAATACTTGCATAAAAAGCTCTTCTAAGAATATTTAAGAGCAAAATATAAAGGCTATTAAATCTAGCCTGCTTGAAGTTTGACATTCTTAAGAGAGAACTTAGGGGGAGAGAGATAGTTGGTGTTGTCTTCCTTTAGCTGTGGTAGTGGTTGGATAACAGCGCAAAGCGTGGTTCTACGATCAACCTGGGCTATGTTGATAGCTATGAGCTTGTAGGCAGTGTTGACTTGTTCGCTTGTTGGATCTTGAGAACAGAAGGCCTTTGGATTAGTAGTCCTTCAAGAGTGCTTCCCGGTCGGAGAACGAAGAACGTGAGGGTAGAGGATGAAGAGATTTGGAGAGGGGCTCAGAAGTTTATTTAGGTGAGAAGAAGTGAAGGACTAGAAGGAGAGGTGGAGAAAGGAGAGGCTAAAAAGATTGTGTGGGCGAGAAGAAATGAGTGAGGAGATTAGGAGGAGGGGAAATGAAGAGATGGGGGAGAGAGAAAATTAAAGATAGAGCATTTACAGTAAAATTATTGAAGGTGGTGATGAGATCCAGAAAAGGGGAGGAGCATGGAGATCCCGAAAGGGGGGAGAAGCACGGAGGAAGAGAGGTTAGGATGGAGGTTCAGAGGTTAGAGCGTTTTAGAGATAAGGGATAGAGTGTAAGAAGGGAAGAGAGTATTTGAGGAGTGTTGAGAAAGAGAATGAGTGATAGAGAGAAAAGAGAGAATAGGTGGAGCTTTAGTGGTTTTGAGGAGAGACTGTGCACCTGGACCACGAGTTGCGCCTTCTTTAGCCCAACGATCTGCTTCTGAATTGGCTTCACGAGGGATGAGTTATGGGTAGCCCAATAGATGATGTTTATGGAATCTTATTCTACCATGATTCCTGGGGCTGATGGTGCCATTGATACCAAAAGTTTAAGAAACTCAAAAGGGTCCAGTGCCTCCGCAAAAGTGGAGTCATTGACCCTTATATATTTTGACAATGTTCGTAAAGTTGCGGATGAGTCTGCAACCTGCCCACCTATTCCTGAGGGCCCTGGGTTCCCGAGATAAGAACCGTCTACATTTAGTTTCAAGAAGCCTGGTGGTGGAGGAGCCCGAGCCCATTGAGGATTGGGTCTTGGGTGGGGGGGGGGGGGGGGAACTCCCAGTTTGTTATGAAATGGGAGATAGGGATGGAAGCAAAGGTTGGTATCGATTTTGCCCAATAAGGATAGATATATATTGCTTTCTGGCTTTTGGAGGTACCTCTGAAGGTTCTTGCATTGCGCTCAAGCCACAAGCTCCATAGCAGTGCTGCTAGGGATAGTTGCCACGGTCTTTTCCCAGATTTTGTGAATGGGGGGTTAAAGAGGGACTCAAAAAGGTTGATGAGCGTCCGGGGGGTAACCCATTGGAGGCCAAAGAGTTTAAGAAGGGATGACCAGTGACCTAAGGGGGTTTCACAGTGGATGAAAAGATGTGGGATGTTTTCTTCTTCCTGCATACAAAAAATGCATCTATTTGGAAGAGAAACCCCTCTTCTTTGAAGTTGATCTAGGGTGAGTTTTTTCCTTGGAGTAGAATCCAGATGAAACCTTGAACTTTATGGGGGATAGGTAAGGACCATATTTTCTTGAGGAGGGGATTAAGGTTCAGTTCAGGGATGAGGGAATTGTAGAAAGAGACTGTGAAGCAGCCTGAAGCATTGGGGCACCAGATCAGGGCATTTTGACAGAGGAATGGGCTGAATATAGGGCGAAGGGTTTGGAGGAGAGTGGTGAGAGAATATATTTCCTGGTCTGAGAGGATCCTTCTGAAAATGGGGGTCCAAACTAGATTCGAACCCACTAAATTGCACATAATCTCCTATAAGAGCTTCTTGATTAGTTGCAAGTGAGAAAAGGGAGGCAAAGGATAACCTAAGGGCGGGAATGGCCTATCCACAGATCAGTCCAAAATTTAATTCGAAGTCCATTACCCAACCTGTATCTAGTGCGACTAAGGAAATCAACTTTAGTGGTTGAGATACTTTTCCAGGCTCCCGAGGATCTATTGGTGGGGGGGGGGGGGGTGGGCGAGGTTGGGCAGCCAATCTTCATTGCAAAAACCATATTTAGAGCTAATGACCTCTTTGCAAAGGAGGGGGTGAGGTGAGGAATACTTCCACCTCCATTTTCCCACGAGGGCAGTGTTCATGGTTCTTAAGTTTTTTATCTCGAGGCCCCCAATTTTTTTTGGCACACAGACCTTATCCCATGACATTAAGTGGTACTTTTTGGAGTCCTCCTCTCCAGACCAGAGGAATTCAGTATTTGTTTGTAGTTAAGTGTTTTAAGTCACAGTTCTACTGTCTGAATCAGTTCATCATTGGACCAATTCGGATTGCCAGTTCTCAATCCCGATCGTCATATTGGGGCGATCCAGCCAAGAAATAAAAAGAAAAAGCAGAGAAGTTAAATTTTTTTATTTTTTTTTATTGTTTTCAACTAGAAAAAGAATGTTTAAATGATTCAAAGCCCTTGATAAACATAAAAAACAATTTGACCGAATTTAAATGATTTGATATGAGTTTAAATAATTCAGTTTTTAGACAGATTAAATGATTAAATAAGTTAATTTTTAGACAGATTAAATGATTTGATATGAGTAAAAGCATTTAAATGATTTGTTAAACATAAAACTGATTTCAGTTTAGTATTTGACTTTTTATGTTTATGAAATTCTTATCAAATTTTCTTTCGCTGGAATATTTTGAACTGTATTTTCAAATATGTGGAAAAAATATGCCCAGAAAACGAGCATTTTAAGATGCCCAAGAAACTGCAGTTTAATAAAGAGGGCTTTGTTCTTTCCCTATCCTCTGATTTTTGAAAGGATCAAAGACCCCCCAAATTTCGATCTTCTTATTTCCGTGATTAGGGTTTTCAATCCAAAAAAATACTGTTTGCATATCTTGCAGAGGGTTCAAAAATGAAGATTTTAGGACAAGTTTCACTGAAAATGAGAGAACAAGGAAAAATGGTGGATCAAGGGGAGAAAAGTCAATTAAATAGGTGTTAAAATGTATGAAGAGAATTGGCAGTTGACACAGAACCAGAGGATGCTCTGACAAAATCATTGACATATCTTGAAATAAGTGTTGGATCGGGCTGATTCCTAATTCCACAAACGAATTGGCCTGGTCACCTACATAATCCAATCCGGATTGCCAATTCTGGATCAGTGATTTTTCAAACACTGGTTTGTGATAATGTTGGAAACTCGAATTTTTTTTTTTTGGGGGGGGGGGGGGGGGGGCAATTCCTCTTTCTTTCTGCCAAACCTAATCTCTCTCTCTCTCTCTCTCTCTCTCTCTCTCTCTCTCTCTCTCTC